TGAGGATTAAACATGACTGAGAGTAAAAGGGAGAACAATGTTCTTTTATTTCCCATTCTCCTCCCACCCAAAGGCACACTGAAGGGTATGTATCCATGTTAAACACCCAGTGGTGTTTGGTATTTGTATGTTGAGTTCATCTGTTTTCAATGTAAATTGGCATAGGTTTGAGCCTCGGAAGTATGACGGTGCTGGACTCTTGCTCTGTAGACTGCTGGCCTCATTCAACAGTGTGTCTGAGACTGCCTCCTCTGGCCTCAGAGATGGGGGGCTGACTTTCACAGTGCTGTCAGGAACCTCAGTGTGGAACCGCCACCTTTGATCATTCCTAACCTGAGCAGCAGCGCATACAAAGGCTGCTTTCAGCTTTCAGGCCCTGTGTGCCACAGACACCATGACAGACGTTGCAGTACGTGGCTCCTTAACCCCCTGTGAGCATCTCTCTTGGTGATGGGCCAAGGAGTGGACAGGAATGGTTGGGCCAAAGGGTAGTGAAGTGCTTTATTTCAATAAATATGAGCAGAGTGCTTCATAGACTAGCTGTACAAAAGGGAGCTAGGACTACAGCGCCTCCAGCAGCACCTCAGAATCCCCTTCGCCCCACAGCCTCCCTCTGTTGGGTATAAGGAAGTACACGTTTTGTTTGGATTTGTATTTTTCTCCTCAATAGTGACAGTGAGTGTCTTTGGAGGACTTGCCAGACACGCACCATGGCCCTTTGTCTTTTGTCACATATGTTGCAAACCTTTCAGTTTGTCACTTGTCTTTGAACAACTCTGCTGGTTGCTTTTGATTGTGAAGTTGTACAGTTTTTTAAAATGTAAAACATATAAGAAAACATTGGCCATCCACCATTTTTAAGCGCACAATTCAATGACACCAATTATGTTCATCATGGTGTGCAACTCTCACCGCCGTCCGTTTCCAAATTTGTTTATCATAAACATTTTGTATAATCAAATATGTGAAACTCTGAATGTGTGGTTTTTGTGTTGTGTATCTGCCCTGGGTCGATGCTTCATCTCTCTGCTAGAAACTGCCCACATGAACACTCAGGTCAAGCAACAGTGACTAACACTGCTCTAGGCCCCATTTCTGAGTGCCCATTGCAAATTCCTGGCTGACTCAGATTGCAGGAAGTCTGCATCGATGATTCTATCAGCTGTGGCGTGTGTGTGTGTGTGTGTGTGTGTGTGTAGATGGCAAGACCTATTGCTGACTCTGCAGAGATTGATGGAGGCAGTGTCCATTATTGCAGACACAACAGGCACTTAGCCCCTGCCCTCCAGGAGCTCCAAGTCAACTTCGGAAGAAAGACAGACAAGGAGGTAAGTAACTACAAGACTTTGAGTTGCTGCAAACCGCCTAGACACACTGGATAAAGTCCAGCAAGCATCACCTTGCATATATACCTGGGTGAGCCCCCTGAACGGCAATGGGGCCCTATCGGCGTTCCTGATTCGCCTGATTTCCCATGGTAGGCAGGCGCACATCTGCGCACGTGTGTGGGGCACTGGATAGATGCCCTTCTCCCTGAAGAATGAACCAGCTGCTCGTCTTTGCTTTCCCCTCCCTCGAGGACTCCAGGGCGAGCAGGTAGCACCCTACCCCGCTTTCGCAGCCCATCCTTGACCACACCTGTCCCGGTCACCCACGCTAGGATGGCAGCCCTCTCGGCAGCCCAGCTCGGTCAACGTGGCAGGGTACCGCCCTCGGCCCCGGACGAGGCAGGGCGCCATTGATTGGGTAGTGCTGAATGAGTGACGGGACAAAAACCAATGACGTGGCCCTGGGTGCCCGCTGAGCGCAGATTAGCCAAGGGACGGGAGCTCTGGTAGCATAGTGGCTAAGACACTTGCCTGCTAACCAGACGGCTGGCGGTTCAAACCCACCAGCCACTCCTCGGAAGGAAGGTTGGGCAATCCTACTTCCGTAGTGATACTGCCTCGGAAACCCAAGGAGGGGTCGCTATGAGTCGGGGCCGACTCGACGGCACATAACAACAACAACAAGCGGGCCAGACGGGAGGCCGCGCGGGCCTGCGCAAGGTAGTCAAACGGTGAGTAGAGGCGTCCCCCGGGAGGGGACAGGTCTGACGGAGTGGGGCAGCGAGGCGACGGCTGGTGGGGTCAAGAGGGAAGGGAGAGGACAGGAGGGCCAGAGTTGCCACCAACTCTCATAGCAGCGCAGTGATCCTGGGAAGGAATGGGCGGATGGGGTTGGTTCTGGGCTTGGGGAGCAGGAGCCCAAATGCAGGTGGGGGGAGGCGGCTGAAGTAACACCCAGGTGGTCCTTCCGCATCCAAGGCCTTTACATGAGTGACAGCGGCCCGCTGGGCACCGCCACCACCATCCCCTTTCACAGATTACAAAACCCAGGCAAGAGTGGCTTCCTGAATGTACCCAAGGCCCCATGGCTAACAAGTAGCGGGTCAGGGAATTAAAGGCAGGGGTGGGGGCCGGATGTCAAGATCTCTGCCCTGTCACCCTGATCAGTGCCCTGGGCACTTTATCTGTTCTTTTGCTCAGCCTCGCCCCTTCAGGGGGCTGCAATGAACTGGGCTTCTGGAGCCTTTTCAGAAGTAGGGTTTCATTGTGGATACTTCTTGCTGCTTCCTTTCACTGCCACAGTGCTTTTGTGCACACCAGCGTTTCACAGTGGTTGGATACAAGGAAGAGCCCCCGGTGCGGTTGGGCTTGTCCAGGTGAATGGCTTCCCCGAGAGCGCACAGTGCTGTTCACAGGCATTGTCACTTCTCAAACAGCTGTTTAAGGTGCACACAGTGCCCGGAAGGGTTAAAGCAGTGAGCACGTTACCCAGCAATTTCATCCCCAGACATAGGTACGTGAGAGACATGGAAGCGTGCGCTCACACAGACTCAGGTACGAATGGTCACAGCAGCGTTAGTAGTCATCACTAGTGTCCATCAACAGACGGATGGATAAACACAACACGGGTATCCGTACTGTTGTTGTTGTTGTGTGCCGTCGAGTCGGCCCCGACTCATAGCGACCCCTCC